CCACCCAGAGAAGTGGGAGTAAAAACAGCAGTAGTAGCTGGATATTCACATACCGGCAATATACAATCACATGAAAGGAGATGTGGTAAACATTTACCAAGAAGAGATTTTGCAAATTCTAGCTAGTATCCTACAGAACAAGTTTTTGGTTTGCTGAGTAAAGTTACCACCTTAACGCAATTCTAGGTGGCAAATCAAAGGGTTGGGTTCCCAGGTTTGTCCAGAAGCATTGCAGTGCAAATAGAATGGAGAAACCATGAATGAAACTCTAAGATTTAACATCTTGGCAGATAGTATTCTGTTCAAAGAGAAAACATTTAAGGAAGAAAATGTCCAGATAGATTCAGGGCCTAACTAAACCTGTGTCATCAGGACATTGCCACTGCCACTCTCGATTTTTTAGTTCTGCTCTCTCTGAGCCATTCATTCTCAGTCGAGCTCTCCCCTTGAGATGGGAAGGAGGGCCAATAATTAGGCCTACACTTTACCAGCATTGCAAGTTTTCCAATAGTTTCAACATAAGTCCCAGAATTGACTCTCATTTGTTATAAGCCCATCCCTGAACAAATCATGTGAACAAGGGGTAGAAATTAATATCCATTTCTCCTTTTTTCATAGAATACTTTTCAGCATTAGGTATATTACTGCTTAGATAAAGGAATCATTTTCTAGACTCCCTTCAGTCTATAGATGGCCTTATGGCTAAATTCTGGGTAATGGTATGTTAGCTGAAGTAATTATGCAACTTAAAATTCACAGCCCTAAAAGAAAGGAGTTTGCCCTCTTTTTCCATTTTTGTAGATTGAAGTGAAGACTTGATGATGAATCATATGGGACCATGAGAACAGAGGCTACACTTAGACATAGTAAAGCAACAAGGTCTAAGGAGCCAGGATTCCTGATATCTTAGAGCTGCCATACCCCACTGGACTGTTCATGCCTCAAACTACTGTGGAGAAATATCTTAATCAAGCTGCCAACTCATACCTTAGATACCTGTTTTGTAACCCAGTTTACACTTGAACTATGCAACTTCTAAGTATTGGTTAGGGTAGGTAATTGACCTTCTCTATTCGATCATCCCATTTATTTGTATGGTTGAGAAGGCTTCCGCTTGTAACTTCCACCTGCAATTTTGGATTCTCTTATAGGCATAGATTTTCACTTCTTTACTCACTATTTTTCTGTTTTTATTTCTAAACTAGGTATTTGATAAAACTAACTTTTTGTTTCCTTTTTTGTTGCGATTTAATTCACAAATCATAAAATTTGCCCTTTTAAAGTGAACAATTCAGTGATTTTTAGATTATGCAACCATTACCACTATCTAACTCCAGAACAGTTTATCAGTCCAAAAAGAAACCCTTTACCCATCAGCAGACACTCCTTATTCTCCCCTTCCGACAGCCCCTGGCAATCACTGCTCTTTCTTTCACTATAGATTTGACCATCGTGAACATTTCATATAAATGGGATCAAATAGTATGTGACATTTTGTGTCTGGCTTCTTTGACTTAGCATATTTTCAAGGTTCATCCATGTTGTAACATATATCAGTACTTCATTACTTTTTATGGTTGAATAATATTTGTATAGCTATACCATATTTTAAAATTCCATCCATCTGTTGATGGACTTTTGGGTGGTTTCTACTTTTTAGCTGTTATGAATAATGCTGATATAAACATCTGTGTCCAAGTTTTTGTGTGAACATGTTTCAGTTCTCTTGGATATATACTTAAAAGTGGAATTACTAGGTCATATGGTAAGTGTATCTTTAACTTTCTGGGGAATTCCCCAACTGATTTCTAAAGCAGTTGTACCATTTGGTGCAGCCAAAATTGCATATATTTGTGATATTTAATTTTCCTGGCAGTTAAGGATTATTTGGCTTTCTATTTCATCCCTGATCTAGAGAATAGTTAAGGGGGTATTTTAGTCCTGGCTAGGTAGCTCAGTTGGTTAGAACATCATCCTGATACACCAGGATTGAAGGTTCAGTCCCCAGTCAGGGTGCATACAAAACTTAACCAATGAATGCATAACTAAGTGGAACAAGTTGATGTCTCTCTTTTTCTTCCTCTCTTTCTAAAATCAATAAATAAAAAAAATTAAAAAGAGTTACCTCCTCTTTTAAAAAAGAATATTTTAGCCCTGGCTGGTGTGGCTCAGTTGTTGGAGCATCATTCTGTAGACTGGGAGGTCACGGGTTTGATCCCCAGTCAGGGCACATACCCACGTTGCAGGTTTGGTCCCCCCACCCTCCAGCTTAAGGGTGCATATGATTGATGTTTCTTTCTCACATCGGTGTTTCTCTGCTTCTCTCTCTCCCTCCCTGAAACCCATAAGCATGTCCTTGGATGAAGATTTAAAAAAAAAAATTTTAATATATATTCTGTGGTTGGGCATTTTCCCATTCTGCTCTTGTAACTGTAGAACCAGCTCAAACTGGTCCTATCCTATTTTTAACAAAACCCAGATCCAAGGTTTACACCACTTTGCAAGTAACAGTCGTGAACCCTTAACTGCTTGCTCCCCACCATGGAACCGAAGAACTGGAACCGAAGGACTGGAACATGACAGGGGCCTGCCCACCAGGACCCTTTCAGAAGCAAAGGGCCAGTTGCACGGGAAGATCTGGTGCTGAAACCATTTAAAATCCCACCTTGAACCCTGGGTCAGAGAGATAGATTTGAGCCTTCCTCTCGCCTTCTTTCTTCCCTGTAGACTCACAAATAAAGCTTTTTTTCTTTTTTCCCCTCGAAAGCTCATGTCATAGTGTTGACTTCTATGAACATTGGGCAGTGAGCCCTTGTTTGGTAACACTGTTGTTCATTTGAACACATTGTGCAAGTAAAATACACTGCCTTTAAATTTTTTGGAGTGCGTATCTGTGTTCCAATATGTGATCAAATTTGTGACATTCATGTCTTCTTAAAAAGAAATGGCATTTCTTTGCCCTATTTGCCAGTTATTTATTGTAATACATAATTTGTGGGCATAAGAACCATATAGTGTCTAATAGATTCTTCATTAAAATCTTTGCATACTAAATAACATGTTTTGATAGTCAAACATTGAAATCTTTAATTATATTTCTACTTATCCCTACTTTCTTCTCATTTCTCTCCTCTTTATAAAGTGTATTTTGCATCTAGTTGTTCAGGATCATTAATTTTTTGTTGTTATTTTATCATTATTGAGTGATCCTGTTTTTCTCTTTGATGATTTTGCTCTAAAATTTGTTATTATGGTGATACGTTGACTTTCCTAAATTATACTGACATCATAGATCTTAGATCTCCTAATTATTGTTAATGTCTTTTTAAGTGTGTCTTGTTGCCAGCAAGTATCCCTGGCAACTCTTTTTACATGAGAGTTAATTCCTTTGCATTTAATGCTCTGTTTGAGAGATATTTTTACTGCCCTCCATTTTTATGGTGTTTTCTCTATCCATTCAGTTATACAGTTTCTATAGAGGACTTTAAACTCCCTTTTCTTTTAGCATGATTATAAAAGTCTAAACCATGTATTTTTTCCATGTTAACATCAAACATTTAAAAATAATAATCATAATGTTTTTTTCTGCAACTGATTATTAACTAAGCAACCTTTGAAGTTACTTCTGGAGGTGTTAAAGGGCAGAGATATTGCTGCAGCCTGGTCACCTCGTCGGGCAGTTACAGCCTGGCAGATACCATGTTTAGGTTTCTCAGGCAGGCTCACCTCTGGTTGTGATCTCTCTGCCAAGAGCTTTGACAGTGAACACTCATCTCTCTCCTGCAGGTATTTTAGTATTTTTGAGGTCCAGGCACTGTAAGCTGCCCTTGCGGGTCAAGACTGCTTTTTGCTCAGCCCCCACGAAGGAGCCTAGTTGCCCTGAAACAAGGTGTTACCCTTAAAGTACTTAAGTGCTATCTCTTTTAATTCAGTGAAATTTTACATTTTCCAATCCTTAAACTAAAATTGTTCATCTGTTTTTTGCATTGTATAAACATAGTTTGTTTTTTTGTCTACTTTTTACATTTCTAATTGTATTGCATATTTTATGTCTAATCAGCTGGAATTTCCTTCTTATTATGCATAATTTATTCATTTTAACTATTTTATTCTCCTATTTAAATTTTTTTGTTGTCTGAATTTAATAATCTATGTTTATCTTTTTATTTTGTGTATTATAACTGTATCACATGCTAAACTTTGGCTTTTAAAAAATTTTATTTATTGATTTCAGAGAGAGAGAAGAAGTGGGGGAGAGAGAGAGAGAGAGAAGCATTGATGGGCTGTTCTACCTGTATATGTATTTGTTAGTTGATTCTTGAATATGCCCTGCTGGGGATCCAACCCGCAACATTGGCATATTGGGACGATGCTCTAACCAACTGAGCTAACTAGCCAAGGCTAATCTTTGACTTTTATCTAATCTTTATCTTTTATTTTCCCCTTTAATTTTAAAAATAATTTTATCATTTTAACTATCTTTCAATTTTACTTTTATCTTTATTTTCAGGGTATTCGCTATTTTAATTTTTGACTCTTTGATTTACTTTATAAACTTTATATTTTCTTTTAGCTGTTGGTGTTGAGCAATCTCTTATTTATAATTAATTCTATTATTTATTGTTAAGCAGTAGATCTGGTTTTTAAATATTTTCCCAGCTTTATTGAGATACAATTAACACATAACATTGTGTAGGCTTAAGGAGTATAATGTGATGATGTGATATTTATGTATAATGTTGAAGTAAGGTAAGTTTGTATCCTTTGACCAACGTCTCCCCATTTCCCCCATTCTCCACACTCTGGCAACCACCATTCTGTTTTTATGAGTTTGGCTTTTTTAGATTCCACATAAAAAGGAGATCATACAACATTTGTCTTTGTCTTACTTATTTCACTTAGCATTATGCCCTGAAAGTCCATCCACGTTTTCATAAACGGCAGGATTTCCTTCCTTTTTAAAAAAATCCTCGCTTAGACATTTTTTTCATTGTTTTTAGAGAGAGGAAGAGAAGGAGAGAAAATTCAATGTGAGAGAGAAATGTTGACTTGGCTGCCCTTTCACACACACCCTGACCCGGTATCTGGGTACGTGCCCTGACCAGAATCAAACCTGCTGCCTTTCGGTCTGTGGTATGACGCTCCAGCCAACTGGGCCACAAAGGTCAGGGTTCCTTAATATTCTATGTTGTATATGTATGTGTATGTCTCTCTATATATTATATATGATATATATTACATATTAAATATATATACTAACACATTTCTTTACCCATTCATTCATTGATGGACACGTAGGTTGTTTCCATGTATTCGTCACTGTGAATAATGCTGTAATGAATATGGAGGTATATATATCTTATCTCTACAAGTCAGTGATTTCATTTTCTTTAGATACATATCCAGAAGTAGTATTGTTGGATCATATGATAGTTTTATTTTTAATTTCTTGAGAAAGTTCCATACTGTTTTCTATAGTGGCTGCACCAATTTACATTGTCGCCACAAATATACAAGTGTTCCATTTTCTCCATATCTTCACTAATACTGTTGTCTCTTATCTTTTTGATAATAGCCATTTTAAGAGGTGTAAGGTGATACCTCATTGTGGTTTTGAATTGCATTTCCTTGATGATTAGTGATGTTGAGCACTTTTTCATTTGCATTTCCTCTTTGGCCCTTTGTATATCCTGTTTTGAAAAATGTTTATTCAGGTCCTCTGCCCACTTTTAAATTGGTTTTTTTTTGGGGGGGGCTACTGAGTTGTATGAATTCCTTACGTATTTTGGATATTAATCCCTTATTAGATATATGGTTTGCAAAGATTTTTCTCCCATTTTGTAGGTTGTGGTTTCATTTTGTTGATGGTTTCTAGTGCTATGTAGAAGCTTTTTAGTTTCATGTTTCAGTTTGTTTATTTCTACCTTTTTGCTTTTGCTTTAGTTTCTTTTGGTGTCATATCCAAAAAATTGTTGCCAAGACCAATGTCAAGGAGCTTTTTCCTCTTGTTTTTGTATAGGAGTAGTAAGACTTCAATATAAGGTCTTAAAGTCTTTAATCCTTTTTAAGTTAATTTTTGTGAGTACTGTAAGATAAGGGTCCGATTTCATCCTTTTGCATATGAATACCTAGTTTTCCCAAGACCATTTATTTAAGATGCTCCTTTCCTCATTGAGTATTTTTGGCTCCCGTGTCAAATATTAGTTGACCATATATGTGCAACTTATTTCTGGACTCTCAATGCTATCCTGTTAGTTTATGTGTCTGTTTTTACACCAGTAACATATTATTTTGATTACTATACTTTTATAGCAGTGGTTCTGATTTCCTTGCTCTGCAATATACCTGAGAGATAGAAAACATTCCCCTGAGTGACAGTAGCTCCTTATGTCCGAGGGAACTTTGTATTTCATTACACTGTTAACAGTTTATGCCAGGGCAAACTGGGGCATATGGGCACCATAATTACAGCAGTGATTTTCAAATGAGGAAAGGGCTAAATCTCTAAAAGTGTTTGTGAGTATGTCAGAATAGCCAGGGCAATAAGTATCAGTTAAGGCCTAGGTAGAAAAACAGAAATTGCAGCAGCTATTTTAAGAGAGAGAACTTCACATAAAGAATTGTGAACCAGTGATTGAGATAACTGAAAGACAAGAAAGGAACACTGAGATTTTGTGGAAGTAGGACTGCAGGAAGCAACTGCCACTTCTACAGCTGGGCAGGAAAAGATGTGGAGATTATTTGAATCACAGTGCTCCAAGAAGAGACCCCCCCCCCCACCCACCCCCAAGGAGCTGGAACTCAGGTCCCTGAGCACGGGGCACTCGCTGAATAATGCGGGTGCCATGGGAACCCAGAGGAAGTCTCTGCAGAGCTGGGAGTCAAGCCTGTGGGGAGGAGGGGCCAGCTGACTGGTGGTAGTATCTCTGAAGGGGCATAATGAGGTCAGATTGGAGTGTAGAAAAACCCTGTGACCTGAAATCAAGTGTTGCTACTAACAAGTGTTGATGACTGTGTTGCAGCCTCTCTAGGCTGGACAGGTCCGCTTGGGGCTCGGTAGATGGAAGAAGATGCGTGGAGCCTTGGGGATGCTTGACGTGCCTTTATTCGGGAGAGTCACACAGGCACAAGCCCGGCCCAGGGAAGTCACACAGGCCACAAAGCCTGTGTCTGCGCCGCACACAGTCCACGAGCCCATGTGGAGGGAAGTCACACAGGCCACAAAACCCATGTCCAAGTTGGCGCCCCGACTCCCGACCCTGTCCAAAGCTCCTATCCCTTTTTTACTAGCCCCAACAATCAGGCCAGGAGGTGAAGTAACTATCATGAGCTGAGCATGCGATCCTACTCAAGGCTACAGGGCAGTTTATCGCACCCGGGGCTCAAGGCCATGAGACCCGGGTGAAGGCCTGTGGGACACTTTATCAGACTCCTTCAAGGCTGTGAGGAGCTGCTCCCTCCGGTTACTCACGTGTCGCACTGCATGTCGGCTATAGGGGACACACCACCACGGGGGAGTGCCGCAGAGAGCACAGCGCTCCCTGAAACCTGAGGGAAACTGGCTGGGGCCAGCTGAGGTGGGAGCAGGGCTCTGAAACCCACAGAGCCTGTCCCGAGGTTGTCATGGATGGCGGGGAATAAACACAAAATGTCTCAAACACTTCTCTGTTTGCCAGGAGAGCAGACGAGGCACTTCCCTCTTACCAGAGAAGGCTGTGGCACATCCCTTTAGTGGAGAAGGCCCTGTTGCCCTTTGTTCCAAGGCTTTTATTCAAAATCTTATCAGTGCGGTATGTAACAGGAATGCATATGTTATCTCATTACATCAGTATGGTAAGTTTCACAGTGAATATATGATGCTTTTAACAAGACAAGTGACAGGAGTACACTGACTTACATGGATCGGAGAGGAGGCTAGAATCAACAATAGAGACTGTAGATGAGGGGAAAGTAGACTTAAAAGCACCTTAAAGATATTGGGTAAAAGGTGTAAATAAAGTAAATGTCTTAATGATACCAGTTAAGGGGTATAAATAAAGCAAATGTCTTAACAAGGTAAGGAGTGTAAATAAAGGTCCTTCGCAGCATGAGCTGACCAGAGATCTGAGGGAGGAACAGAGTACACTCTAAAGAATTTACTTTTAGGCCTAATTACCCTGGACCCACCAGATCTGATTTAGGGCTGTTTTTCCTGCACTGTTTCAAGCCTGAGCCAGGCGGGGGCGGGGGGGGGGGGGGGGCGGGCGGGAGCCACGAAGGGTTAAGGAGACTGCTTCTCGGCTGCAGTGAGGACTCCGGCCATGTCCAAGCCAAGCCGAGAGGTGCAGGGGGCCTTTTCGCCCCTTCTCCGTGTCCCCCCATTTCTTATCTGCTGCCCAAATCAGGCCACTGCCTGTCTTAGGTCATTAACCTCAGCACACGGTCACTTACCTGTCATTGGCTCATTGACCCTCCATGGCAAAGCAGAGAGGCAGTGGCTACGCCCCTCCCAGGAGCGGACAGGCCAAGTCTCCTCAGGAGACTGTTTTCTCCAAGACCTACTGATTATTTCCAGCCTTGGGGTCCTCCAGCCTGTTGGCAGGGTTACAGCTTCTGAAACCAGGCCAGGTGGTTCCCAGCACACATGCATCTAGGTGAGGGAACCAGACCACCTCCATGTACCCTACAATGACAGAGTGAAGAACAATTAATTGCTACAGGGACACTGACAGAAACAGACAGCAAACAGGAAGTACTAAATTCCTTATCTCTTCAGCCTCCTAGTTCCTCTGTACAGCCTGTTAGATGATCCCAATGGGAAGGACTGGCAGAAGAGAAATACATTTTTCAGAGTCCCTGGCACAGCAGCATACAATAGAGCAAAGAAGGGTAGAAACTTAAGAGAAAATAGCTTCATAACCTTCACATTTCATCTGTTTGGCTACTCATTATCCACTGAATTCTTCTATGTATATTGAACTTCCACAAAAGAACAAAGTTTTATGCCTTTGATGAAAAGATGCAACTTTCCTTTGTACAAATAAAGACATTCTCATGCTCTACCCATAATGAGAAGACACAAAGTCCTAACACTCACTGTATCCGTCCCTGGGTAATAAGCACAGTATCCTTCTCTGAAAGATAGGTTAAAAAGCTGGTTAAAAACAATAAGCGCCCTTTCACCCTATCCTATGTCTCATTAGAGTGAGGACTCAACACATTGTTCATTTTCCAAGAAAGAAAAAGATTCCATTTTGAACAGTTTTGTATCTCTGTAAAATAGCTTCATTGAACTTCAGATGCTACTTCAGAGTGATTATTCCACTCATAATGCTATTGCTATCGAATCCAGGTTTGGCCGCCTGCCACTTCGAAAGCCAGTACTCCAGAGACAGGAGCTGGTGTAAGGAAAAATGGTTTATTCCAGAGCCAGCAGCCTGAGAAAATGGGAGGCCCTCGTCCCAAAGACCATCTTAACATCTTAGTGCAGGCAGAGGTTTTTATAAGGATGGCGAAAGAAAGATCAAAGAGCTCAAGGGAGAGGGTTGAAAAGTTCTTTATCTGCAGACCAGCGCAGTCCCTTCTGATAAGGATCTTGTAACTGGTAGAACGATGGTCTGGTGTGCGTCACCCTGGTTTTGCATCCTCCTCCTCTTGTGTCATCCCAGTTTTACAGTTCAAAGTTAGCAAACCTTCCAAAGCTGAAACGTCTGAAGGTCATGGTTCTTTTGAATAAGTTACTAGAATTCTTATACAAAAAGCTATTTATCTACACAAGTTATATATTAGTCAGAGTCACCAAGTGGAGGTCTGTCTGTGTCAAAACTTATTGGGGTGAGTCCTCCCTGTTTTTAGCTGGCACAAGAACTGAAAATGGCCAGTTTCCTGGAACACTGAATACATGCTGTTAGCAATTGTTAGTTCTCATTATTATTTCTGTAATGACAAGGCTGCTATCTCAGAAGAAATGACAATTTCTTCTGCCCTATCAGTTACCATTATGGATTACTATGGCAGTAGCAAGCTATTTAGCCAGTTACCAGACTTGTGTTTATTCCAATTAGATACCCTGTTTAAAAAAGTGTTCCTGCTTTCCCTGGAACTCGCCCAGTTGAAATTCCCATCAGTTAACTATCTGACCCCGTGTAGCTCTTTGAAGCAGCTAGTGCAGGGTATACAAGAATC